CTTACCCGCGTGGGAGCACTTTGACTAGCAACGTCCGTTCCGCTGGTCGGTTCTCCAGCACCACTGCCCCATTGATCTCCTTGTCGGCCTGGAATTGCACCAAGTCTCCTGCCACCATCCGGCGGGCCGTCTCGATCAGCTTGCGGTCATAATCGGGAGAATCGCCGCCCGTCATCCAGCTTGGCTTCTTCTGTCGGTGGTATTTGCATTTGAGGTCCACACTGGGGATGGAGTAATGATTGCCGTCATCCGCGATCACAGCGATCTCACCCTGCTCCACCTGCACTCCGGCTAAAAGTGCACAGGTGGCATGGTATGATCGCGTACATTTGCCGAAATTGCACTGGAAACAAGCCCCTCGCACCTCGCGGCAAAAGAGGCACTTGAGCCCCATGCGAGCCTTCGGGATCTTGTCAATGTCACACACCACCTCCTTGCCAGTCTCGTCACGCAGGATACTGGTCTCTTCAGTGTATAGGGCACAGCGCCGATGGGCGTGATTCTTTCCATCTTCGGTGGGTAGTAGGTCCTCATAATCCAGGTTGTTGGGGCACAGTACGCACGGAATCTTCCGAGGGACCTCGACATTGACTCGCATGCGTTTCGCCTTTGTAGAATCGCCGTCATGCTTTCGTTTCCGGCCACGGTTACTCTTTTCTGGGACACTCCGTGGTGGGGTAAGGAGGTCGGAAGCACCCTCGAATTCATCGAGGTCACTTTCGAATTCACCGAAGTATTCTGGCGTCGATTCGCCGCGCAGCTTACGCTCAATCTCATCGACATCGATCCAGACGCTGTCAGACTCGCAGTGGCACTTCTTGGCAACACGACCGTAATCCAACCACTTCTCAGTCGCAAAGTTGACCGACTCGGCGCAGTTGTAACCAAGATTGTATCCCGAGTGATATCCGTACGGGTATGTGATCACAAACTCGCCCTCATAGTGGACGAGCCTGTTGACGGTGATACCGTACTGAGACTTGAGGAGACTAGGAGAAACAAGATAGGTCTTATGGCGGAGGAACTGATCACAGTTTTTCGCGTCGCTGGGCCAGATACCTGGCGTAATAGTCAGCATTGATTCATGAGCCTATCACGTTATGTAAACGTACTCTTCATAGCCTGTTCAAACCGAGGAGCATCTTCTTGTGAAATGCTATACCACTGTTTGGGGGCACCAAAATGGATATAGTTGATACTGTACAGATCAACATCTTCCAAATGCCAGGCAAAAGTAGCTTTCCACATCCCCAGGTAGAGGTATGCGGTGTTGACACCAGGCACTTTCTGCCCCAAGACATCCAACAGATTGGGTAACTTGGCGACGTTCCATGAGGTTGTGATGTTCTCGTCGAAAAGAGAACCAGGCATATCCGCGCCATACATCGGATTGTTAAACATCAAGGACTTCCAGTAGGCGGTTTCTAATTCCTCACATCGTTCCTGCGTATATTCCTCGTGGTCGTGGATGCGATAATCAAAGTCTCTGAAAGCCTCCTCGTCCACATAGTCAATCGCATCGCCTTTATTGTGTTTTCTTCGCGAGGTGACCGATTTAGGTTGTCGTCCTTTCGGCTTGGTAGTGGGAAGAGACTCGCCGTCGCTCAGTTCTTCCGTCTTCGCCTCGACCGGGTTGGATTCAGGAGACACGGGCGTGGGAGGGCCTTCGGGCTTGATCTTATCAAGGGAATCTTCTGCAGGCTCTTCCTTCACCTTCACCTGGTTGGATCGTTTGGGTGGACGTCCCGGTCCCGGGCGACGTTTTTGAGAATCAGATCGGGCCGTTTGGGTTCGGGCGGAGGGGGGAGCACGAGTGACTCGCTCCTGGTTGCGGCGCCTCTCACCTCTGCGGGCAGGAGGCTGATGGCTACTTTCTTCGCACAACCCTTTCCACTGAGGGAGGTTGTATGATCGTTGTCGCTCGATGTTCGCCTGGGTGTAAGTTCCATGTGATCCGTGGAATTCCTGCATGATCGGATTCTTCACACGGATCTTCTTGACGGCTTCGTCGAGGGCTGGCAGGGAGTCGGTCCTAGAGAAAAGAGCTGGTTGGCAACGGCCCTTGGAGAGAAAATCGCCGTAGAGAAGACATACCATTCCTTTGGAGGAACAACCTTCAAAATTCCAGACCGCATGCCATATTTCTCGACCTTGTTGATGAAAGATTGGAAGTCCCGAAATTGATCCATGGTCTAGGCCTCCCCGTCAGTGACATCATCAAAGCCAGGGACACTGGAAGAATGCAAAACCTACCGGTTTGAACACAGGGATCTTGCCCCCGCCATAATAGTGGTCTGGTTCGATGTCTTCCTCTTCTTCCTCTACCGATGCGGTCTCTGGCGCACCAGTAGCATGAGGATCGAGTTCCAGATCCGACAATTCAGAAGGAACACCATCTGGAACTTCTTTCTTGCCGTTGGCGCTATGAGGGGGAGTGATCGAGGCGGCGGTCGTCGCAGGAACCGCGACAGATTCAAAAAGGGGTTGATCAAGCGCTGCCGCCATCATCTCAAGCACGATGGAAAAGACGGAAAGATAACTGTTCGGATTTCGATATGGGTGCCGTCGTCGGAAGAAGCGACCGCTGATCGACGGCGAAGAAGAGATTCCCAGCGGTCGGGGAAGAAGGCGCTAAGGAATAGATATCTGCTCTTCTGTAGCGATGTTATTATCGGGAAACGGCTTCTTCCGATCGGAATATGTGCTGGGGAGGCTCAACTTCAGGAGCAGCCGAAAGGAAAGGGGGACGGATAAGTAGATGGAATGTGTTAAAGGCGGGAGTGATATAATAGTTGATCCGAGCTTTCTCGAACGAATTGCCGGGTGTATCAAAAAAACAATCACTGTCGGACAGTCATAGAAAGGGATAGATCACGGGGAAATGATAAGTAACAAGCAGTTACATAGATAAAGGAGAAGATTGGCAAGTGGATGATGCGATCGATATCACCAGCATCGGGGAAGGTCCAGCAAGCAAAGCAAGCCCCTCCTCCAGTTTGAGGGATTGGGACGAGAAGATTTACCGTGTTGCAGGACCAAGAAGCAGCAGATGCTCAGCAACGAGGGCGCTAGTTCGCCAGCAATGCAGAGGCAGGATCTTCTAGTGGGAAAGCGATGGGGACGCTAAAGGCAAGAGGACGCAGAAGGGCAGGGGATGGGCAGGACCAATACCAGCGACACATCGGACGGTCAAGTGTGGACCCGGCCAGAGCACGATGGTCTGACTATGCGACGCTGTGGTAGGCTGCAGGAAGGGTGGACACCCTTTGAAACAGGTTGAAATGGTTATTGGAAGGAAAGTGCAAGGTGACTGGGCGGATGAGCAGCCTGAGCGCCTGAAAAGGACTTTAAGGCACCAAGCTAGCCGATGGCCTGAGCCAGCTTTAAGGGAGGTAATTTTTTCCAGCCGCCGAGAGCAGATCAAGCACGTACGTCTCCGGTCGTCGGAAATAAACACCCCCAGTTGGAACAAAGAGAAAGAGAAAAGAAGACAAGGTTACCTTCACTTACCAGTATCCAAAGGAGCTGTCGAAGGATGGATGATATGTATCCGAAAATCTAATCGAGAAAGGATTTGACGATACACAAAAATAACAAAAAAAAGAAAAAGGTGAAGTAAAGATAATCAACAGAGATGAACCGTGACGCAAGGATCCATATACAAGAGTTACCGGTCTATGTTAGTTAGTAGTAGGTAAGCTGTCCGAGTGGATGGAACACTTCCACCAGAGCGACGGAATCAGCGGTCGCCAGAGGGATCACGTGCGCCACATGACTTGACCGAAGGAGTAATAGTAATTACGGGAGGAATGGTCAGATACTACACGGGATCCAGACTACACCCGGCGGTAGCCCGCAGCACGGCCGAGAGGCTGTGCAATCAGAAAACAGCCTTGAAACCACCACGATCTCTGTCGACTCCAATCTATCAATCAGTCGCTACGTTGCGAATTTTGGAAACTCGGATACCGGCGGACCGGCAAGGGAAACTTACCGCTAGAATTAGATACATCGATGAGACACTTAGAAACGCATTAGAAGGCGACTAAAATCAGTTCGTTAAGGGGGTCTGATCGGTTGGTGGAGGATATGATCTCACCGACTGACTCTCTGATTGGAAAGAGGTTAATTAGCCGGTGGTAAAAGCGGCTGGCTTTTTTCTTTTTTTTCTTTTTCTTTTTCGTTTTATTTTATTTTATTTATATTTTTTTTTCTGGGTCTTTCACTTTTGGCAAGATTGGCTGGATCGATAGGATACGACGGGGTCCCTCATTCAAAATGAACAATCAGTGGCCTGATAGCGATCCTCATGCATAGAAGAAAATATTACTCCGGGAGTACATTCTCCCATGGGCATTCAAACTAGAGAATCTACTTGATACAGAATCCGATACTACCATGACCGCGCATGTGCCTGAGGCCATCTCAGAGACAACACTCATTGAACTGTCATGCCCTACCGATACAAAACACGCTGTACTCCATACTTACAGGATGTGCGGTGACTTGCAGTTGCAGTAGCCGCATCGACCCCAAGAGGGGAAAGAAAAAGTAAAAACGATAAAAAATTAGATGTATCATGTACGGGGTACAACACATCAATTCACTCGCCAATACTACCCAAGCCACTAAGCCTACGGAGATCAACAGAACAACTCACAAATGCCCGTTATATTTTCAATTGTCTTTAAATCCCCTATGCTGACAGAGACAGGTTACAAGTGCATACTAGTGCATGCATATATATCTAGTGCATGACTTGCACATGCATATTCGTGGCAGACGTGGAGTGTTTTTCGAAGGGCTGAAGCAATCTCATCGTATTATATATATGTGTGCAAGTCGACATCCCCTCCAGAGCACAACAAACCAAGAAACAACATTAAAAGTGTTCATAGTATACAATTGAATAATAAAAGAACAACTACCCTAACTTGACTCGCATGTTATATACTATTCCACAGGATCGAAGTCATGATGTACATATGTACAGATCAATCGATGGACAACGCCCTATAAGGTACCGCAATCAAAACGCAAGAAGGGGGGAAAAAAAATACGGGCTACTTTCAAGCAATCACGAATATGCTATTATGTAAATCCACTGATCTACGGCAATTTCAACTGAAAATTGGGATGGTCGTTTCCGACAGTGGTCGGTTGGGCAGAAAGTCGGTGGCGTGAACACAACGGATGGAAACTCCATGTTCCTCGACGTTTTCGGTATGCGGCAGGCCAGATTCTGGTTGGTTCATTTTCCACTCAGGATTAATTAGTAATAATATTACCTCGCAGAAAGTTTTCTCTCACAGTGCATTCGTGACAGCATTTGAACTGCAAGAAATGACTCAGAGCATAATATGATTTGATTTTGAAGCTACGATATGTACTCAATCACATGATCCGCATCCAACAAAACTACTGAGAACGAGTTTTGAAGAACAAGTAATCGCATTGGTATCTCGCTCTAAATGTGCATATATCGTAAATTCTCAACAAGAAACAACCAAAATCCCCAAGGCAGAAAGCATTAGTACTCATTTAGACGTAGTTTCTTGCCAACAAACCGACGTCGTTCGGGTTTCTCGTTACGCTCTCGGTCTGTACTCAAGCCTTTGAGTGCATGCAATAGCATTCCGGCGTCGAAGAACCCGTCTGATACGCTGTTAGTGTGTTGTTAAATATTGATTGAGTCGGGAACTTACATCCGCCCATGCCGTCGTCTTCTATTTCTCCGCTGTCGGTCGTTGGCGTATCGGCACCCCGGCGCACTGCCCCAGGATCTCCCCGGACGAGCCGGCCCCGACGGTGATCCCCTTGGAGCCGCTCGGCGATGATCTCCATTTCCCGGGCCCGACTGGTTCGCGGACTGGCCGTATTACGGTTCGTGGCGCGTAGCAGCTTGCGGATTTCAAACATATACGACTCGAGTGTGTACAAAAACCGAGCGGTCTGGCGGTGCTTGGACGAGGCGCAGAACGAGATGGAGTCATCTTTGATGATATAGCCAATTCCGAAGCCGTCCGCAGACGTTGGGCCGAAACCAAAATGCCGCAGACATGGATTTCCACAGTTTGAGGTTGACAAGATCGTATTGTTGATCTTGTCCCAACCGGGGTCACTGAAGAGTGCTGGGGTGGGTGGCGCCGGGCGAATCGCACGCAAGCCATAGCTGGTCGTGGAGGATACGCCATCATCCGATAACGGCGCCTTGGGTGAGTCGATAGTAGAACCATTCTCGACAGGGCTAGAGTAGCCGTTGGAGCTGCTTATTACACTATTGCCAGAAGAGGAAGAGCCTTCCTCAAAGGACCGCTGCCATAGACAATATAATGCATAGAGGTGTCGATCCTGTCCCTGTCCCTTGGAGCACTCTTTTGTAGTAGCGGTATGCTTTTGAGTTGCCTTCTTCAGAGCCTCCACCTTCTGCTCTGCTGGATTCTCTCCCCAGAAAGTCTGTACGAAATTGGCGCATTCGCTGGTGACGGTCCGTATCGCCTCTGTCCGACCGTGCAAGAAGAACTTGGTCATAGCTGGCTCATAGGTGTTCTCCAGACGGCCATACAGCCCGTAGTACGCAGCTTGGAATGCCATCTGGACGAACGCATCTGGCGAGAACCCCATAGATGTGATGAAATTCTTACCATACCCTTCGAACTCAAGCACACGGAACTCATGCTGCTTGAGAAGGTCGGCGAGATGGGATTCGGCGAATCGCAGGGCAATACTCAGTTCAGGAAGCATGTCCCACTCTAGTTTGCGAGGCGTAGTGCTGACATTGCCAAGCTTCGGGGATCACGCTTGGCCGGGTCAGGGCTGTTACTTGCCCACAGAGTGGGCGCCTGTCCATTGATAGTTTTTGCGAAGCGAAGTATGGTGTCTGTGTAGACGTCACTCGCAAAACGCAGCACCGTATGGCCATCTACGCCGGTATGTTCAAAGTTGATACCGGCACTGCCGTTCTGACACACAATGATCTGGAGCTTGTCATACCACCGGTTGGTACAAGTTCGACCTGTACACCCTTCACCACTTCACTCGTACCACAAAGCATGTTGGCGCAGAGGTCAGACGTATTGCTCGGCTCAGTATAATCCAGACAGAGAACAAAGAGTGCTGTATCAACTATGTTGAGACATTCTGCGTTGTTTGAGCCCTCATCCTTTGTTAAGATGTCCCGTAGCCCAGACCACACTTTGCGGTTCTCCGTACTGAGGACACCCAAAGCTCCCTTGGCGGCATCTTGGATAGGGGTCTGTTCCGCATCCCCAATGATTACCTGAAGGTTAAGGGCGATGTCCTTCTCAGTCATAATCAGATCATTGTTCTCGTCGAGGACATCAAACCAGTAGAACTGGCCCCGACACATGACAACAATGTGCTTGGCGTGAGGGTCCTGACTGATCACGCATCCATTTTCGGTGGGTAGACGTGCTGTTCCGAACAGCCGAGAATATTGATACATGCATAGTGGCGTCCCTCTAACGGTATCAGGCTCAAGTTCTTCGCGCCTCACAGCTCGGACAAAGCTGAGGGCTGATACAACAAGCGATGCTGCCCTGGTGACCTGGTGGTTCCTGGCAGGCGTGGGGTCATCCTCCAGCAAGAAAAATGGATTTAGATTCAAAACGACCGCTGTTAGAGTCAGTATGATGAAGCCCAGATAGTTTCTGTGATAGGGCTTATCTTACGGCTATCGTAGTTTAGGTAAGAATCATACCCTTGGCGGCAGTGTTAGCTCTCATTCAACTCAGCAATGTAATATACCTCCCTCCCTTCACGGATACACTTACAAAATTGTTCAATATAGCTGGTCTTCGAAGACGCATAATTCTTTAACTTCTCTTGAAGAACAGGTCCGTCCGACTTGAGAAAGTCTTGTACAGAAGCCTTTGTCTCTTCTTGTTCCCTCGGCGTCTGTAATGCAGACAGGGCCTCAATGTATTTCTTGCATGTGCCCTCTAGATCCGGGACAGGGAGTTTCGGGAGAGACTCTTGGTTAGCGAATGTGGACCCTTTCTTCTTCGACGATTCTGACGCAACATTCTGGCCGTTCACGCCGTCCACCGAGGTAGGCTTGATCTTAGTCTCCATGGTAGGCTCAGAGCGAGGGGCCGCCATCGCGTCCAATCGTGGCTTTGGGGCCGTGAAGTGACGAACTGCGACAGACGAATAAGACATCGTGTCAGTAAGTGATATTCGTCCAGAATATGATCAACTAAGAGTAGCGACAAGCGAGGAAGGTAGGAATGGACAGTAGGCGCAAAGCGGTGCGATAGAAATAGTGGCAATCTTGCAGGCAGTATGAGGGCATGGATTCTGGCTAGTAGCGCATGACCAAGCCAATCACGGGATAGTAACTAACAGCAGGCCTCGAGGACGATAAAGGCAGTTTAACAGTAAACGAATCTCAAGCAAACTAAAGATAAGGAAAGGAGCGAGGGGGAACTATAATATAAATAAGGACTATATAGGATATAAAGAGTACCCATTCGATAGCCCCGCTGTCCGGACTCCGGAGGAACGACAGGCGTGGGGAGAGTATGTGCTCGGGCGCCGGGCTAAGGGAAACCAGAGCCTATGGACGGAGAAAGGGACGCTTACAAGGTACCAAAAACAGTAATCACAAGAGGAATAGTCAAAGGTCTGCTAGCCGGATAAAACACGGCGGACCGCAGTCGCAGGCGCAAGCGTCGGCAGGCTTGGGGCAAAGGTGGTATCGGAGGAACGGATGAAGAAGCTTAGTCGATATAGTAGCTTCGCGATGCGCCAAGAGATATATAGAACCTGTGGGTCGCAGTCGCACAGACGAGCGAACAATTGCCTAAAAACCACAAAGATGAAATTAACACTGATCACCAGTTGAAAGCACCTGGTATAATTTTCTTTGACCTAGTGCCTCCGATTAGTTTACCGTAATCTTCCTAGACCGGCTCTGTCGTCATACAAAAACCCCGAGTGGAGTTTGACCAGAGACGCGGGACAGAGGAGCTACTTGGGGTCTCTCAAACTAGAGACGAAGTTGCGACTGTCGAAAATTGCGTGTACAGCCAATTGACAGGCTAAATTATGACAGTTCCGCGACGGGCACGGTCGGCTAGTACTGGCAAGTGAAGAGTTTGTAGATCGAAAGTGTCAAGTTAATGATCCTTCCGAATTGACGTCGTATTGCCAGAGTTCAATCTGATGTGGCAATCTTCAGCAGCCACCCTAAGGTTAGATAGGCTGCACCACTACCGTCACAGTGGAAATAGACTCTTAGGTGCTGCTGATTTGCAACCCGACTAGTAGACGGGGATTCTCTGCCCGATGACGTTTCGGACGAAGGGAGCTGGCTGGGGAGGTCGAATGCGCGGCCAGCTATACTTCTGGTTGCGGGGAAGATAATCTCCAACAGGCCAGTCACGTGGGGTTCGATTACTTCAGCCAAGCCGTTCATTGGTTCACTACACGACATCTGTCAGTGCCATGGCCGCGCATCGGCGATCAATGGGTTCTACAACTAAGGATAGTAGTCTACATGCCGCGGGAATCGTTCTCGTAGGAAATCTCATCATTTAGTTTTTGGTCATCAAAAATGCTCCGCCAAGACGCTTATATGAACACATGAAAGCACAAACGGAGAAGCGAAAAAAGATGAAGAATCAAATGATTCAAATGTTGCCATTGGTGTACCATGACGGGGCAAAATCAATATTCACAGAGAAGGCAAATCAAAAATTCCACATCGCATGGCCTGCACCTCGGTACCAACCTGATGGCTAGACTCCGATGACGGATACGAGCATGAGGTTGGCGAGTTGGGGCAGGCAAGCGCGAGGCGGTCTCGAAGGAAAACCGAAGGAGACAGGAAAAAAGTTCAAATAAAAGCAAGAAGCTGACAATTGTCAGGCGTATCTCCATTGGTGAGTTTCATAGTTTCACATCTCGCGGACGGTCGATACAGGAGAGAATCTGTGCACGATTGATTTGGCCAAGTTCATCTAATCTGGCCACCGAACGGTTCCCGGGTGCATCCCCGACCCCAGCAATTCAATCATTACCCTGGATCGGAATCCTTGCCGCTGCGTGCACAGACTGATCTCCCGTCACAGTCGAAGCGAAAACAACTCTCGAAATCTAAGCGACATACATGGCCTGTCCAAGGGGACGAAGGACATTGTCGGCATACTCGCCGGCATAGTTTCCTAAAGTATTGTCAGGATTTCTGGAATTCACCAACGGGATCCAAGGGTGTCTATTACTTACCGGCCGGACTGTAGTTGCAAACGGTGAAGGGAACCGCCACAGACGAATCAACGTTACCAAGACTGTTGCAGGTCACGGTAGCGCAACCAACGTGGGTGGTACCCTTCCACACAATCTGGGAGAAGTGACCCCAAGCATCGAAGTTGGCCATACTGGGGTTGGCCTCGCCGTACAGGCTCTCGAAGTATCCCATCTCGTTGTTGTACATCAGGTTGGTGATCATCTCTCCAATCTTGTCCGAGGAGACACCATATCCAATGTTCTGGCCATAGCCACCGCCATTAATGGAGCTACAGCAATCGTTAGTACATTCCACACCGAACGAAAAGTCGGGGCAGTCTTACGTATCATGCTGGTAGACGCATCTAGCGGCGAGGGTCTGGGCGCTAGCTTCCAAGGAGCTGTCCCACTCCAGAGAGCTGGCGGAGTGGTTGCTACGGTGAACGTTGTGGTTGTACAAGACGGTTCCCTGGTAACCATTCGTGGGAGTAGCGCCGCTGGCACTGGAGGTGGTGCTAGCCAGGGTGGTTGGCTGGGAAGCTGAAGAGGTCCAGGACGATGTCCACGCGGAGGTCCACGCGGAGGTCCAGGCAGATCCAGAGTCGGCCGCAGCAGCAGTGGTTGTTGGCTGCACCGCGGTGGTGGGCTCCACAGGCGCAGGGGCGGAAGAAGTAGGGAGTTCGACAAAGACTCCGGTCGAGCTCTGTTCCACCGGTGCCGGTGCAGGCTCAACAGGCTCCACACTTGCGACGGGTTCTTGGACGGGAACATATGTCGAAGAGGAAGTCGTAGGAGCCGGGGCCGCAGGTGCGGTGATCGTCGTGGTCACAGTGACGATGGTCCAGTCCGTAGTGTAGGCCCGCTTCTCGAGAGGGTTGGCCATGGCGCCGGCGGCGCAAAGAGCACCCATCAGCAAAGAAGACCGCATGGTGGTTACTGGTTGGAGTGATGGTTGGTTTGCGAGAGGAGTTTTCACAGGTCAACTGCGTTCGATCGAGAAAATGACTTCTCCGGGAAGCTATCCGACCGAGTAAAGAATGAAATGGATGGAGAAAATGCGTCCAACAACAGGCAGATCGACTGCGATTGGACTGGACGATCAGGTGATGTGGAAAGAAAGGTGATTTGGGTGTATGTACGCCGTTCCGTCGAGGTCAATATAGACAAAAGAGTGACAGCCTTGGGAGACACTTTTTGAAAGAGTGAAAAAAGTGTACCAGAGGCGAGGGAGCTTGGAAATGCGTGAGAGACCAGCAATGAGGGAAAAAAAAGAGAGAGAGTGGCAAAGGACGTGGAGAGAGAAGTGATAATATAGTGGTACACAGTAGCGTGAGACGGCTGTGATATCGTCGATGGGGACCTTAATCACGGAAAGGAGAGTCGAAGGCCCCTCAACGGGCGTGGTCGCTCTTTCCAAGTGGGGCCGTACGATCTGAGATAATTAAACACTAATGAAATGAGCTGGAGAGAGCTTGGCTTTGCAATGGTGATTAAAGGAGAGTTCTAGATGGGGATCGGAGGAATTCTGTCTGAGAAAATCTAACCCAGCATCCTTGGAGGTGGGCGGATGTCAAATAATCCCAGTGATCTTGTCTTTAATTCTTTTATCCTTTTTATCTTTTTTCCTTTTTGATCTCTTTTGCACAAAGAAGATCGGTAACGAACCATTAGAGTTTTGGATTTTCATGGACATGAAATTGAGGAACGCGACGGGCTTTTCTTTCATCCCCTGATTCTCCTCCCAACCACCAAGTCAGTTCGTACATACCGGAGATAGTCTGGAACAGTCTGCCGGCCCATCAACCACTACGAAATACATTCCTGTCGACCTCCTGAAAGAATCCCCCAGCCATGGAAAGGATGTAACCTTACCTATCCATTATGGAATGATTCGGTGATGGCTTGATCATAGTGTCTCTCTGGTAATCTAATAAGATTCTCTGAAGATATTAAAACGAGATGACGGTGAAATTCTCCGTACGCAAGATACAATTTGTTCTGTACCCCTGGCACACCCTAACCCCGGTCCGGCCAATCAACATGCCGACCAGGTCAGGTCCCATGTACTATTGGCTCAATGACGGTGGAGATTGCAGGTCCTCGACCCCTGCAACCTTGGAGCAGGCCCCCACCACTAGTCGGAAAAAGGAAGAAGAGAAGAAAAAACAAAAGAAAAAAAAAGTGGACAATCAACCCAAAGCCATGGAAATCATACAACTCTCATTTTCTGGGCAGCATGCAGTTGACCTTGGGAGATCCCATTGTTCAACGGTCAATGGCATTCAGAAACACAATGAGTTGAATGAGACCCCCACATACTATTTGCTGAAGGAATGGAAATACAAACTGGTATAAGACCGGACATGTTATTTTTATTGATTTTTTATATAATAATAATAAGATG